TTATGGAGCTTTAAGTTTTATTTATACGCTCTTACAACATAGTGTTAATTTAAAATATCGTTTTAAGATTTCCCAGAATAAATGCGCCTGCCCATTTTGTCAGGAATGGCAATACTTCTTCACCCACTATAAAATRAAAATTTTAGAAAGTCAGTAACAATATAGGGATGGGGAGAGGGGAGAAAGGAGGGAGAGAGGGAGGACTTGGGGGATAATAAAGGGGGTATAGGGGCCTGGACGTAAAAGAACCACTTAGTGTACGTGACAACCCTTTCGGTATTTACTTGTTCACTCTAAAAATCTCCCTGTCTTCAGGCTCACTTTATTTTCAGTCTAGCTTTATTGTGTTTCCTCTTCGCCATCATTTAATAATTATATATCGATATGAGCAGTACACCTAATTAGTGACAGAAAATATAGTCGGGTTCCCGCAAAAGGTTATATCATYAAAGCTAAGACGAAAGCAAGCATGGGAAAGCACATATCATGAGTTTAAATGAGTTTCATTGTCAGATGAAATGACCTTCTCTTCGAGTAATACTATTGTGTAACATTTTTAGGCAAATCGATTATTCGAATTTCTGAGCACTTTTAAAATATTCTCAAAAATGGTGGCTTTCACTGGAAAACCTCAGACTTTTACATACTATGCAAATCATGTGTAAATTGTTTGTAAACAGACTGTAAAATTGATTTTACAGTACCAATGTACTTTTACATACTATGTAAACTTCAAAAGATTTGTAACTCATTTGTAAATTATTCCTCGTACTCAATGTAGATTTTTTTGTAAATGTGAAAAAAATGTTTGTAAAATACAATCCCCAAAATATTTATACATATAGTATGACGCTGTGATCACCCCGGCGTTTCCGATACGACACTTGATTTTTAATCAAAAGTTTAAATAAATAGAATAAATAAGAAATAAAAAAGAGGGGGGGGGGGGGGGGRGGGGATGACTAACCTGTGACGCCCTCATGTCTGAGCGGACTTCATACACTTCCTCGTTTGAGCAGCCCTCGTTACAGCATTCTTCGTAGAGCCCGCTGTTATGCTTCTTGTATATTCTCAACTTCCTCTTTAAGAAATTATTCCCTTCCTTTTCTCCTATGATTTCAACTTCTTTGGCAGTTGAAAGAATCACTTTGTATACAAAAGCATTAAAAATTAGATTGCATCAAATCTTCGACCATACTACAAAGTCAATCGCCGTCACAGCCATCGCTCAGTTGTGAGAGACAAAAAGACAACAAAGTCATTTGAATATACAGTATCATATTTCAAAATTCTTTGCAAAAATATTCAACATGAAAAAAATATCACAATGTTAATAACATTTTATAATTCGATATTTATCTGGAGTCGGAAACTGAATGAAATCCTTACCGGGAATTAAAAAAAATAAACAAAAAAACTGACAAGTTTTTGGCTGATTGGGACGATTTTAAGTAGTATTAACACAAGAAGTTAAGGACAAAAAGTATAATAAGCGACATACCTTGATTTATGACCATCAAGAACACAATCACGACCAACAACGATTTCATGGCAAACTAGTCTGAATTATATATAAATCCTAAAATGTTAAAACGACTCATGTCAACGACTCCGTCATCTATGAGTAAAATGCCCTTTTTACATGGTAGGTATTAGAGCTAAACGATGGGCTGTGCCGCACCGTGACCCTCAAAACCCTTACCCTATCCCAGACCAATTTTTGTGATTTTACATAAACTACCCCAGACTAAAGATACAAAGTTACATTATTTTATTGCTGAAAGCGTAGCCTAGCAGATATGATCACAGTCAAAACTCCACCCTACCCCAGACAATGAGACTACCCTATCCTACAAGACAAAAAAACAACCCTACAAAACTACTACCCTATCCCAGACAAAAAGACTACCCTATCTCAGACAAATGGGAAAAAAAATGATACCCTCCTATCTCAGACTTGGAGCTCCGAAAAAGGGACTCCATCGAGCGGCACGCCCGTATAGCAAATATAGGGGACTATCATATCTGTATCTTTTCACACAACTGAACATTCTTAGAAACACATCGACGCAACTTACACTAGTTTCCACCATATCACCTATAATAGACTATTTCACGAGACCAAG